GCACTCCTACTCCTACTCGGTCGAGGCCTTTGCCCGCGTCGCCCCACGCGTCGCTGCCCGCGCATAATGCGCGCTTGTGCCCCGACTGCCGTGCGTCCCAACCAACGCCCGCACACATGTCGCCCGTGTGACTGCATACTCCCCGCACAACCCGCGTGCCGGCCTTGTTCGCCAAATCATGCACATCAAGGGCCGATGCGCACCTTTTGCATTTTAGCCCCTCGCTAGACTTGCCGGTGTTGAACCACACTTCCGTATCATTCCCCTCATCTTCAAGACTTTCCTTGTCCCCAAGGATAAGATAGTTCAGCTTTCAGACTTGACCTTCACCTTCATCCTCGTCAGGTGATTCACCTGGATCCTCAGTCATCAACTTAACCCTCTTACTTGATCGCCCAAACTCCATAGTTCCCCTCCAATAATCAGTTGTGATTGGACCAATAGTCTCCAACCATTGGCATCCAAGTACTATATCAGTCGCCTTCAAGGGCAAGGCATACAGATCCACTCTTATTCTCTGACCTTGGGCTTCCATCTTTACAACTATGAAGAGAATATCTCCTCGAAGTGTTTCTCCGTTGGCTACTTTGACTCCAAAAGGCTTAACCTTTGTGAATGGAATCTCTATCTCTTTGGATAGCTCCTCATCAATGAAGTTCAGCGTAGATCCGCTGTCAACCAATACCTCCACCAATTTACCTCTAATCTCAGCTGTGAATGTGATCATCCTCGGGCCATGCTTTTTGCACTTAACCATATGCAACAAAGACTCCTCCGGTGGCTTTTCCTCCTCACCAACATAATCCTCTTCAAATTCTAACAAAAAGACTTCCTTACCTTTGCACTTGTGGCCTGGCGTAAATTTTTCATTGCACGTGTAGCATAGGCCTTTTTCCCTTCGTCGTTGCATCTCGTCGTCTGTAAGCACATTGCTCGTTGTTAGCACCACCTCTCCCAACGACTTCCTCTCGGTCCGTGGTACCTGCTCCTCGGTCGCGACGTGCGTGCGCCTAGGCTCCCCGCGCACGCCGCTCGGCCTTGCCTTGCGTACCGCTGCGAGATGATCCTCGTGCAACCTTGCCGACTCCATGGATGCTCGCATCGATCTTGGCCTATCCATTCTCACCTCAGCCACCAATTCGACTTTTAGCCCTCCAACAAATGCCCCAACTAGCGCACTCTCGGGCCAATTCCGCACCCTACTAGCAATGCGCTCAAATTCCCTTTGATAGTCCCACAAACTACCAGCTTGCTTAATTTTAGATAGAGCTTCATCGTAATCGTAATAGACACTAGAACCAAACCTTGTAATGAGCTCCCTTTCAAAATCCCTCCAACGCATGTGCTCGTCATGATTTTTGTGCAAGATCCACTGCCACCACACGTTTGCTTTTCCATCGAGATGATAGGCAGCAAATTGAACTCTTTCATACCTTGGCACATCATTGATCTCGAAATACTGTGTTGCCCGGCTCAACCATGCATCCGGATCTACTCCCGTGAACGTGGCCATGATGATCTTAGGTCGCGTATAAGCCCGTTCCTCTCGTCGTTCATCGCGGTAGTGATCGTCTTGGTCGTAACGTCGTGCACGTACCCTGTGTCGTCGTTCGTCGCGTCTTCGGTTCTCGCGGTAATAGCATCACTCTTCGTGCGCTCGCGATGCATGCGTTGCGCGCGTGTGGTGCGACGCCTGCGATCGCCGATCGTCCTCATGCTCAGTCCCCATGCTGCTCGTCACCGTGGTGGACCGTGCCTCGCGACACCATCTTGGTCGGTGCGTCATGAGCTCGAGCTGCCCGGCCAGATCATGGACCATAAGCTCAATTCTTCCCAAGTTCTCGTTGGTAACATGCTGGCTATCTCTAACGGTTTTCAAACATTCCTCCAATTCTTGGATTCTTTCACGGTTTGACATCATAAACTCTTTTTTTTAAAGACTCTATGAATAAAATAAAAAAAAATAGGATGACACTTTTTTTTTTGACTCTCGACACCGAAGAAAAAAATTGAAAAAGAACAAAAATTCAAACCGAAATTCGAAAAAACAAGGAAAAATTCGGCCCCTCAACAAAAGGTAAAAACCAAAAAAATAAAAAAATAGATAGACAATAACCTTGATCAACACCTCTCAACGAGAGCACCAATGATGAATGATCGAAGATGATCGTGATTGTTGTCCATTTCGATTGTGAGTAATCGCGCACTCAGGGCCTTCGACTACACACGATAGGTGTGACTAACAGACGCTCTCAAGGCCTTCTCTTAGACAGTGTGACATCAAGATGCTCTAATGGCCTTATCTCTGACACTTGTATGTAAACACGCACTACGGCCTTGCTTAACACACGTTAGAACACAATGTTCCCCTTTCTATTCACTCATCAATTCTCAACCTTCAACCTTTAACATTGAAGAGGTACATGGGTATTTATAGATGCATAAATTAAATCTAAGCCTAATCAAACTAGATCTCCTAAATATTGCAATAATAGAAATCCTAACACTAGAAAGCAATAAAATCCTAATACTACCATAACTACTAATTGCTTGACTTGCAATCCAAGAAGTACTTGATGTCCAAGTCATCTCCTCCATTCGGCGCCTCTTATGCGTGCGTGTCCTTCGTGCGCGAGCCATCGCGCGCCGCCTACGCTACTCCTATACCCATGCGGCATGGGTCGCCTGCCCCGCACGCGCGCGCCATTGCGCGCGCCCAGTCTGCGCCGTCCTTTCCTTGCGCGTGCGCGCACGCCTGTCCTGCACCCCCGCGGATTAGGACGTTCGCGCTTCTGCCCCACTCGCGCGCCTTTTCGCGCGCCCTGCTTCTGCCGTCCGTGTCTCGCGCGTCCTCGCCACCCGCGCGAGCATCTCGCACTCCTACTCCTACTCGATCGAGGTCTTTGCCCACGTCGCCCCACGCGTCGCTGCCCGCGCATAATGCGCGCTTGCGCCCTGACTGCCGCCCGTCCCAACCAACGCCCGTACACATGCCACCCGTGTGCCCGCGTACTCCCCGTACAGCCCGCGTGCCTGCCTTGTTCGCCAAATCGTGCACATCAAGGGCCGATGCACACCTTTTGCATTTTAGCCCCTCGCTAGACTTGCCGGTGTTGAACCTCACTTCCGTATCACGCTGACTGACCTGGACTGGTACTACACAGGCGCTGTCGGGCGACCCTGACAGTACTGGGCGTTCGGACGTGCTGTCAGGCACAACCCAAAGTCGACTGATGTGCGGTTGAACTTACTAACGTGTGCTGGAACGTGCTGGCATGCACGAGGCACCACCCACTATTGACTGACATGGCAGAGGTCGTACGCGATGCCCGACTGAGCATACACGCATAACGTCCGTCCTTCTAGGACTGACTGCCGGTACGCTGTGGCTGCTGTGTGCGGGCAGCGTGACCACGACCGGCCCTTGCAGGCCGTCCGGCTACTTCATCCGACCATATAGACATAGAAGAACATGACTTGATATAAAATGACCATGACCACATGAATTAATCGAAAATACTTAGCAAGACCTTGACACGGTTCGAAAAGGATGTGTAGTGTGCTTGCATGCACAACCCGACGCTACGACCGATACACTCAGCCACTTGACATTTTCCTCTGACCGTTTTAACTTAAATCAACATGACTTAACATAACTTTAATAATCACACGCAAATGGGTCGGATGACCATGAATTTAACTTGATGGGACGTGAACGGCCGTGGTGTGTGCTATGTGCGTAGCCTACGGCTTTGGCCAATCCTTCAGCCAAACAACAACTTCCCTCGAGAATCATTCCATAACTAAACATAAAATGACCTATAATGACCTATAATGACCGAATAAACATGAATTGCTCGAGAGCTGGCAGCTCAAAATCAAAATGGTTCGGAATGACTTAACAAGCCTTAAACCGAATATAACATGGCTTCTACATGGACCGAATAGCATGGCCTGGACTTGACATGATTATATCAACATTAAAAGAAGGTGAAGATCAAGTTACCTCCTCAATCGGTTAATTTTGCTAAACTTCCATGATCACTTCTACATGCTCGTGCGTGTGTGTGCGATCTTCTTCTCCGTGCGTTGCTTTGCTAATTATAGGACAAAACACTCTAACTCTCACTTAGTATTTAGCTTAAGTGTAAGGTTAATTTTTACCACACACCTCATATATATATTAGGACGAATGGAGGTGAATTTGATTGAAGAAATGAGGTTAAAATTCTTGGCCAATAACCTCTCGCCATTTGCCGCACAAGGAAGCCTTAGGTGTAAAATTATTTGCTTAGTCATCTCTTAGGACTCTACCATATCACCACATGTCCATGACAATTATTATTGTAGACTTTGACTACTTGATTTCAAAACCGCACGGCAATAGGTCCTTTTTGTGCGATAATCACATGGCTTAGACTAATAGGTGGTTTAATGTGACATAATCGCACAAGGTCTTAGGCGTGATAAACATGCACCTAAGTCATGCAATTAAACAAAGATCCTCGGCTATTAGCACATGATCAATGAAATGAATTACTTAGAATTTATTCCGAGCATAAATGTGATTTCAGAAATTAATTCGAACGTTCTCGACTGGAATAATTAGTCCCGAATGATAACGCTTGATAAACTAAATATTTCAGAACTAACACGTAATGTACATTAATAACATAATGGGCTATTACAATTTAAGTCAAGGTTAGCCTTAAGGATGATTAAGGTTAATAAAATAGCACTAACACTAGTTGGGAGGTAGCCTTATTTTAATGGACCTTTTGTCCCCTAGTGCATTGGAACTTGACCAGCCATATTTCCTACCAATATTCCTTCCAAATGCAGCAAAAAACCGCTGCCAAGACCAGCCAAGTCGTGCCCCAAGGCCCCATAAAGTCCCATGTGCTTTGAAAAGGGAATTTGTCTCCATTTGCTTGCATAGGTTTCTCCGCCCATGATCTCCTCATAAGCCTCACTTCCTCAGCTGAGAATAGGTCTTGGACACTTAGTATTTTTCGAGTTTATAGAGAGAAATAGGAGAGATAGCTGAGAGATAAGAGTATAGCCTTGTTAGTGCAAAGAGAAGCAAGCACCGAGCTATCTCTTGTTCTAACCAAGTTTTGCTGCACCAAGCCAAGTTCATATCATCTCTAGGAGTATAAGGAGTTTAGAGAAGCCATCATGCCTAAACAAAGGCCACCGAGTCAAGCCACGGCCTATAGCTACCCGAGGAGACCCGAGTTAAGGGCTTGAGTCTCATTTTAAACTTCGGTGAAGTTAGATCATGTTATCTTTTTATCTTAGCTATGAAATGATATTTTAAGATTTATCATGCAGAGAAATCAAGTTTTGCTCGGATAGAATGAGAGATTCGGATTTTTGAAGCTTAAAGCCTTAAAATTGGATTTTTTGTTGCATGCATGTTTAGGCCGATTTCTTGAGCTTAAAAATCCTTATGAATTATATGAAATATGGGGTTAAAACGGGTTCTAAAAATAAGTAAGGGTTCCCGGTCATCTAGAGCTCAATTTTTTGAGGAAATAAACCTCCAAGCCACATTAGTATGCATGCAAGTATAAGCCATCATTTTAGCCTCATTAACCATGTTTTATGTTGCTTATAACTCGGCCATAGTCTTTTGTGCAAGTTTTAGAAGTTGGTCCGGTGACCTTAGTGTTGGGTTC